AGTTGTAATATTATAATATGGTATGTGTTAATAACAATGTTTTTGGTCGCAAGGAATGGCATCACTGCTGGCACGCTAGGAAAGACCGCACCACCCACCCGCATCCCGCCTGGATGTTCCGTCTATGAGTATAAGGTCTATGCGTAGCTCGTGTACGGGACGCGGGAGTGCTAACAAGTGCTGTGGCCTATGGTCAGATGGCCTATCATATTACTCTATGTGGCCTATGGCCTATGCCCACGGACTAAGATAGTAAGATAGTATAGAGGCATAGGCATAATATAAGATACTATCTTATAGTGTTTTCCACCACGCCGCACTATTGCACCAAGGTAGAACTGGCACAGTTCACTGATAATCGTCCCAACACCGGCTGGTGCAAATGTAGACGAAACATAAAATCTATACTTATTACTGATATATAAAGATAATAAAATATTCAAGGGGTATTGCAGTACTTATCATGATAATGATAATGCGCACGAGCTCCAAGACCTCGTGCGATTATCTTTGCACCGAGTGCAAAAAACTGACGTGGTGCATTGAGGTGAAACATAAAAAAGTCCACTCAGTGCACATTAATCTCGCAGATGGAACATAAAAATATGTACTGGTGCAGTCAGTGCAGTGTGGTGGAAAACGCTTTTAGTCCGTGCCTATGCCCTATGGCGCTAATTCGCGCTATGCACATTAATATTCCATGCCGGTCATTCGTTATCACTTATCATTAAGTATAAATTTCTAATTTCTGTGTCTGTGGTCAAATAGACAATAGCACCAAGCACGATTCAAAATAATACCTATCATAAATATATTAGTAATTATAAGTTATTTTTAATTGTTATTAATTGTTACTTGTTAGTTGTTAGATTGTTACATCATAGTTCTAATAGTTCTTTTATAATTACTTATACTTCATACAATCATACATCATACTATTCTACCATTGACATATTAATRTGTCTATGTATTCTACATCCTAAATGTTTACACGTCATAGGTAGTAGCTATCAATTTGATTATAGTTTTGAAGAATATCAAACGTATTTACGTAGGTTAGGTATTAGGTCATATCGTCAGAATATGTACCGACCTTACATATTAAACGTTAAAATCATTTTTATTGAAGTAATTTAGTGAATTTGAATTAATAAGTTGTATTACGATTTACGATAACTTATGAGAATTTTACTAATATATCAAATTCATATATTTACTCAACACAGACTAATAAGCACATAGTGGATGAATTTTAACCTTAAATCGTCGATAAATTTTTTTCTAATATTTTTTATTTAAGAAAATTGTTTTGTAACCTAAATTTATATACAATGGTGAGTTATTAAAAATGTTATTTAATGCTTTAAATTATGCTTAAACTGGCGCAACAGAATCAATTAGCTGTATCTTTTAAAAATGATTGTTGAATTACTAGAAATTAATATTTGTTAATTTTTTTAGGGTTCATTAAGATCCTTTTTTTACATTTCGTCTGGAGGATTTATTTTATGGACAGGAACAAATTTTATTACACTAAATGAACAATTTTATAAAAAATACGTTATTCCAGCTTTCTTTTCGTGTGATCCAGAAAAAGCTCATAGCCTTTTAATATTTTCTGGAAAATATGGTCTTATACCAAAATCATCCTTCAAAGATCCATCGATGTTGGTAAATTTAACTTTTTATCATTTAAACAAAGTAGTTTCATCGATTGTAAATACTAGTAATTATATATAATGGTAGTATGTAATGTTTAATGTAAATTTATTTTTTAGAAAACCAAGTTGTGGGATTTGAATTTTTCCAACCCAATAGGCCTAGCTGCTGGGTTGGATAAACAAGGTGAAATAACAAAAGCATTAAAAGATGTAGGGTTTGGTTTTGTAGAGGTTGGTTCAATAACACCTCTGCCTCAACCAGGCAATGAAAAACCTAGAGTGTTTAGACTTTTGGACAGTCAAGCTATTATTAATAGGTAATAATTGAACTCAATTTTAATAATAACTATTATAAGTTTAATGTAACATATTATGTTAGATATGGATTCAATAGTGATGGCCATAATGTTGTATTTGAAAGGCTTAAAAAACTTAAGCAAAACCAAAACTTTGATGGTATAGTTGGTGTTAATTTGGGGAAAAATAAAGAGTCTGAAAATGCAGTTTCTGACTATGTTAAAGGTATTGAAAAGTTTGCTCCAGTTGCTGATTACTTTGTTATAAATATATCCAGGTAATGTAACTAATTTTACATTCAAACCTTAACTCGAATTCTACAAGAATTAACAAAAAAAAATGTTAGTCCTAATACTCCAGGTCTTAGAAATTTGCAAAACAAAAAAGATCTCATGAATCTACTTTCAAACGTTATAGAAGCAAGGAATCAAGTGTGTGGAGAACACAAAATTCCATTATTATTGAAAATAGCTCCCGATCTTACTGATCAAGATAAAAAAGATATTGCTAATGTAATTGATGATGAAAAGGTAAAATTATATTTTAATTTAAAAGCTTAATGTTGAAGTTGAAAATAGTCAATTTTTTGTTTTAGTGTAAAGTTGATGGATTAATAATCTCGAATACAACAGTTAAACGAATTGGTGTTTACGACAATCCCAATGCACTAGAACCTGGTGGTCTTAGTGGAAAACCTTTACAAGAAGAATCTACTAAGCTCATTTCAGAATTTTATAGATTGACTAATGGTAAATTATAATAATAGCTTAACATCTTGGTAGAATTAATTTTTATGTATTAAATTAAACTTCATTATTTAGGTAAAATCCCTATTATTGGAGTTGGCGGAGTATTTAATGGTCAAGATGCATACGCCAAAATTAGAGCAGGAGCCTCACTTATACAAATTTATACATCTTTTATATATAATGGCCCATCAGTTATAGTTAATATAAAAAAAGAACTCGAAAATCTTCTTAGGTAATAAATTAAAATACATTTTTTTTTATCAGCTTGCAGTACATAGATGTTATAGCTCAACAATAATAAGTATATAGGGGGGGACGAGGTGGCCCAGTGGTCTACCGCGTCGGCTGTGGCTCAKCCGGATCGACCATCGGGCGGCATTTTTCTCCGGGCAAGTCACGGTGTCCGGAGAACAAGTGCCGCCATCCCTCACTCTGGGGCATGGAAGAAACCTACGGGTGCCCCAATAGAAATTCTGCCAAAACTCTTACCCACGTGTAAAACCAACCTACAGTTCCATAAAAACCTATACAGTACTACCCCCTTCTCAATGGCCTTAGTTGCCGCGGGATAGTAAAAATAATAAAAATAAAAATAAGTATATAAACAAGAAAATTATATGGAGTAAAACAACTGAAAATTATATTACCTAATCCAATAAATCCAGCTTACAAAATTGATGAGATTATCATTTTTATAGCAGGATCAGGATTTATATTAAAGGTTGATTACAGAAGTGTAGATTAAAAAGAATGTTATAAATATACAAATAATACAAGATTTAAATTAAATTTTCCATCTAACAAATCAGCTAATTCAATTTTATATTATTGTTTTATAATATTGTATGTCAGTTTCTTAACTTTGTACACAAATTCAATTTACTTAGTAATATTAAGTAATATTATGTCCAATTGAAACTTGATAACTCAAGTATAAAATATTATTCTAAATTTAAATAAACAAATTATAGATTTGTAAAAGTAAAAGCCTTGATATCATACATTAATTTCTTACACAATTTTAGTTGTTTAGCTATAAATTAAATGTACTGATAAAAACTTAAATGCATTTTTTATTTATCTTCTACTATTCATTAAATAAATTATTAATCTACCTTTTTAATTTGTTTTCGTGTTATCACAACATTTTTATTTCATTGTTATAACTATACTTGGTGTTTTAATTTAATTTATTTGCATTTTATGATTTTAGGAAAGATAAATACAACTCAATATCTGATGCAATTGGTGCAGACACCAGGCCTTAAAGTACAATAACAATATTAAATTTATTTTAACATTTTGAAATTTAGATTATAATTTTTTATTCACATACATATTTTACATTATAATATTATATACATTAAAAACATTTTATACAATTATTGATTATAGTCAAAATTATTTATATGTTTTAACTTACTTACTTATTTGTTTTTTTTTTTGTCATTGAAGAAGTCAGTTTCTAGGGTTTGGCTAAGTTTCTCATTTTGAACGCTCATTCTATGAAAGTGTATGTGTTCCATTCACTACTCCATTCACAAATTGATAGGATTTCAATTTTTACTAATGTAATTGAACCATTTCAAACAAGAAATATTAAATAGAATCCAGTCAAAATGAAATGAGTCAAGTTCCGTGAGAACGTTTGGTCCATTTTTCGGGCTCCATTATATTTATAACAAATAACAATAAGTCGGCTACACAGTGATTTTAAACAATTCGGCTACATGACTGACCGCGTTTCCGCCGAAATCAGTTGAGATAAACCGCTAGATGGCGCTGCGCTATCATATGCGAACAATATTATGTCTATGAAACTAGTACCCCAATCCCAATCTCGTATGCATAATGCATCTTTTATATCTGTGACTACAACCAGTATCATTGATATAAAAATTAAAAATTCTACAAGTAGTATGGTACCTAATTATTAGTTATTACAATTAGTATAATAATTAATAATAAAGTATAAAGTAGTTGTGCAGTAGTGTCATAGTAGTGTGGAACTATAAGTAGTTATTAAAAACCATATTGATAAAAATAGCTTGGCTTATATCATATTATATTATATAAATCAATAATATTGCCATATTAGACACTGGCTGTAAGTTGTATTATAGTTTTTTTTTTATTTTACAGTTCACTGCACTTTGTACTTTGCTCATACTTCATATTTTTTGATAATGTCCTATAGCCTATAGGTAGCCTATAGGCTATAGTTAGTATAAAATATATATATATATATATAATATTGTATCGGTACTGTGAACTGTTTAAATGCTAAATTATCATCTTGAATGTGTATTAGTGCTGTGTATGAAATATTTTAAAAATTATTATGTTTCAATTAAAATAGTACTAAATTGTATGCAACATATTTACTTAATTTGTTTTTTTTTTAATTTTTAGTGCCTAGAGAAAAATTTTTGGTGACAGAATCAATTTTGATAACTTTATGAATGCATTAAAATTCAATAATTTAATCAACCAATTGAAATTGTGAGTGATGTGTAACTTATTTTTGTTATTTAGAAATTTTTTGTTTTTTATTTGACAAAACATAATACCTATTTACAATCTGTATTTACAAGTCATACAATAAGTAAATGTGATTGTGATTGATAGACAGGAGAGGGGAGTCGCCCAGTGAAATTACAGTTAAAAAGTAGTTAATAGATCAATTTTTGAACAAATATGTAATTTTTAGTGGTAGGCATTTCCGTGCTGTTGCATATTATATTTTAAGATCATTGAATAAATTAGTATTGACTCTATGAAGTTTTTATGTTATATTTTTTGAAATTACTAAAATTATTGTAAGTGCATTAAATGAACTATAAAAACTATGGAGTTAATTTAATATCAATAATGTCTATCAAAATTCATTCATTTTAGGAAAATGTACTTAATTTATTACATCTTTTGATCACAAGAATTGTACAATATAAAWTGGATATTCTGTTCATAGATATATACTTTGGTAATATTTTGAGTTTACATTAATTATAATGTAGGTCTTTATGAATGATATGAATCTTTATTTCTGTTTGAATTCTCAAGAATAATTTTTTTCTTAATGTTAACTTTAATATATTAATGGGGACAATCATAATATTACACATAAATAAATAACTATAAAATGAGTCATTGAGATTTCCCCAAAGGTTTTCCCGTACAGTTAAACTGTATAGTATATAACTTTAACATAGTTTGATAGTTGATACTGATTAAAGAATTAATTACATACCGTAGTACTAAATTAATTTATAGATGTGTATTATGCTTTATTTCAGTATATGTTATTCAAATTTAAGAAGAAAAATGAGCATTGAAGTAAATCCTGTATTAAATAATGAACACAATATTGTGTGGTTTGACGGTGAGGTATGTAAATATTATTTACTCTACTTATTTATATTAATCAAATATTTACATTTATACTGTGATTTATTGAGAATGCTCATCCCATTTCTAAATTAAAATTACGCATATATTCAAATTCTGATTTTTGGAATTTGTATGTGTAATTAAAAATCATTTAAATATTATCCTGTGGCAATACTCACATTGGGTTTTCAAATGATAACCATCATATTTTAAATTTTAATGCAAGTTATTATGTAAATAGATTTTAAACTTAATTATATTGATTTTCAGATGACTGGATTAGACTATAACTGCCATACCTTGATCGAAGCAGCTATAATTATAACGGATAAAAATCTGAATGTTATAGCTGAGAGTCCAAATATTGTTATACATCAATCAGAAGAAGTGTTGGAAAACATGGAAGAATGGCCCAAAAAGCATCATGCATTAGTAAATATTAAACACAATTTTGATTTATTTTTGTTTTCAATAAAGCGAGTCTTATCAGTTTCCTTCACTAAGTCCCTGTATTTGGTCTATTTTTTATTTTTTTGGATAAAGTAACCATAATTATTAAATATTTTAATTTTAATTTCTCTGAAATAGTTTATTTGTATCCTGGTAAGTAATTACATCCAAGAGTATATTTTATGATCTTGCATCATCTTTAATTATTGGTCCTTTCATTTTCTGTTTATTATGCACCTTTGGTATATGAACTATATTTGCTATACTGTAACATGTAATAATTTTTAAAGCCATTTCCACTTAGTCTGGAAACAAATTTGCTTTTAATTTTAAGATTATTAACAAAAGTCTACCGGGGCATTTAAATTATCTTTGAGATTCCTTATATTCAGTTCTAAATGAGAAATCTTATCTGCAGTCAACTTGTGCATATTGGTTGTGGCTTGGTTCTGAATTTGAAACCAGGTGGTGTATTGAAAGGAGGAGCATCTGACTGGGGTCTGCTGGAAACTGATCGCTGCCAACTGCAATTCTTATTTTGAAATATAAAAGATATAATATATTACATATTGATACTTAATATACCCGATCACTATTGTATTTAGTATCTATGTTAATAAACTAATTTGTCATTTACTTAATGTAAACTAGGGAAAATGGGAATATTTATACAGTGCTGTATCATAGAGTCACACGACTACCGTCAACTGACCCCTTTTTTTGTCATCAAATATTCCTTAAATATAAATTTTACATTTGAAACACTATCGGTAATATCAATATTAAGTTTAATCTGGTTACATTATACTTACTGACTATGCTTAAAATTATACTAATTGCTATTGTATTACACCATTACATAATTGTTTTGGTATTTTACCTGTTACATATGATTGTTTACTTAACCTAGTTAATAGTTATAATTGTAATATTTCTTATATATTATGCATGATAGAACAATAGTTTCATTATTTAGTAGAACAAATTTTCCAAATTTTCTGATATTTAGATTTAAAAATTATTGACATAAAATGTAACTATTTATAATTTAAACAAATCTTTTATTTTGTATGTATTTTTGTTTTAGAGTGGCTTAACTGAAAATGTTAGAAACAGCGATATATCAATCGAACAAGCTGATCAAATGTTATACGAGTTTATCAAACCATTTACTCCTAAAGGTGATTTTAAAATCATGTATATATATTTATATATTGTACCAATTATACATATTTTTCTAGATAATGTAAATTCAACCAGGTTAATGCTAGAGTAATCATTAAATTATAACATTTATTATGATTTTAGGTGTTTGTCCATTAGCTGGTAATTCTATTTACATGGATAGAACTTTTATTAGAAAATATATGCCGAAACTTGAAAGTCATTTAAGTTATAGATTAATAGATGTGTCTACTCTAAAAGAGTTGTTTAAGTATGTATTTATCATAATTATAATTAGGGTTAGGATGTTTATGACTTTTGCATATTTTTTTTTTTAGTCGTGCACTTTGCAAACCAAGTTATAAATTTGTTTTATGCGACATAGAATCAGATACATTCAATTTTATTTTGCATATTTTTACATATTTAGGAATTTTATGAATAAATGCATATTTTGCCAAAAAATAACTTAAATACAATATAAACCTCAATAAAAACCCATAAGTAGGCATAGTCAGTTTCACATTTAACGAAAATTAGAAAATATGAAACCCGTAGTATATAATAAACTTATCTTTATTACTTTCTTAATTAAATATTAATTTACTGTAAGTACCATAGTTTTTAATTTCAAAGTATCATATTTTTATATATTTGTATTTAAGTTTAAAGTTATAAAAAAAGTTGTAAATTATTTTAAAATACATTTCGGATTAGAAATCGGATTATTTTTAAGGTCATATTTTGATATTTATTGTGCATATTTGCATGCATTTTTTAGTGTTTTTAAGGTCATAAACATCCTAACCCTAATTATAATATTCCATTTTATTTTTTAAGTGTTTTATGCATGAAAACTAGGATAAGGTGATAACCAAATTAGCTTCTAAAAATAGCCCACAATGAGTCAAATGAATAAACGGCCACACGCAAGACTGTGCCATAGTTACATTGGTTTTTAGTTGTTACTATAACCAGTTAATCCTATTAATCCATGTAACATAAGAACTATTCATGTTTTTTGGAAATTGTGTGCATTATTTTGAACTCTAACTTTTTATATACATAGGTAGCTTATATTATATATGCATATTTGATGTGTATTTCATAAATTCAACATTCTTTATGAGTATTATGCTCAGACTTCCTGAACATAGATGTATAAGCCTATAGGTATAAAAATTAAACAAGTTGGCAACTTTTGGGACTGTAAAGTACCCTGTAGCTGTTAACTTGTGTGACTTATATCGAGAAAATAATTCATGTGAGTAATTAGGTAGCTAGGTCTTGGTCTAGTTTTGGTCTACTTATCCTATTATTCATGGTTWATGTTTTGGAGTTTGATAACCTGAAATTTGTAGTTTCTGACACATCTGAAAACTCAAGTTATCAAGAACCTACAACTAATCTATCTTGAACTAATAGTATAATGTATTTTAAATCCCATTGAACAAAAATGTTAAAGTAAATAAAAAATGTAATTGAAATGTGTAATTTTTAATAAAATGTACAAATTTTAGACGTTGGAAACCCGAATTAGCAAATGAAGTTCCAATAAAATCATTAAAGCATAGAGCTCTTGATGACATTAAAGAAAGTGTTCAAGAACTCCAATTTTACAAAAGTTGCCTTAAGTTATAATGAAAAAATAGAATTTTATATTTAACAAGACATTACATGGATTTGCACCGAAACAAGCATCACATTAGAAAAATAATAATGGTATGAATGCATTGAAATTCTACCTCTCATCATAATTATATAAAAATCTATAAATATGATTAGGATAAGATAGTGCMATATTATAACCCATATTTATTCCCTGACTAATGATACTATGAAAATTGTTGTTCAGCTATGTTTATGAAAGTTAACACTTGTATACCTTATACATAGTTATGCTATTMAAATACTATATTAGTATTATAGTACAGATTTTCTTCTTTCTTTTCCAAATTTACTAAAAATCTACTCTCAGCCTCTATAAAATACATTCAATAATATTCTGATATTCATAATAAAATATCCTTAATATGCTACTCAATATTTTTCATTTACAATATACAAATCTATGAATCATAAATATGATTTTGTTGGTAAGGAACCATGACAAATTCTTTCAAAAAATCAGTTAAAAACAAAAAATGTGTATCTGGCCCTAAAATTTTGGGCCAAAAACATATTTATGTTAAAAAACTATTTTAATGGTTAAGATGTTAGTGTATTATTAATAAATAAGAAACATAATAATTTACCAATATTATTTTTGTAATCCTTTAAAAAATATGTTACATATTACTATCATATAAGTACATAACTATATTATTAATTAAACAATTTATCTGACTATTAAGTGATGAGAGAACTACAATATTATAACATAAACTGTATAACACATTTATTTTGATAAACATGTTTTATTTTAAATGAATTATTTTTAATAATAAAATAAGAAACTGAACATTTTATTGTTTATATCATTTATGTAGTAAAAGCTAAAGACAATGCTGTTAGAAGTAAGCTACCAACAATTACACCATATCCAGTTGAATAAACTTGTTTAATGGTCAAGCATTTACCTGCATCCCACACCTAAACAAAACGAAATGCGTTAAATGTTTAAAAAAAAAAAATAGGTATTATGGTAACTAAAACTCACCAAATGTCTAACACCATTACATAAATGATAGAAGAATGGATAAGCAACTAATCCTTTAGCTGACACGATAGCAGCTGATGGTAGTTCTAACCCATGTACAAATTGCACAAATGTTGGCACATCAGTGAACAAAAATACTGTAATAAAATATTTGAATTAATACAAATAATAAGCCATTGAAAATTATGACACAGATAATGCGCTACTCAATGTATAACAAAAATCTTTATATCGCTGTATCGGTATATGTAGAGAAGTTTTTATACAATTGATATAAAAATAAATAAGCATTCAAGAAAAAGTACTCTGCCCAGTGAGATAATGCAACTCTACTGTGTATCTAAATGACTGTATGAGATTTAATTTCTGCCGTCATGCGCAGACATGTTGTGATCATCTCCTATTTGCACTCCTCTCACTTGAAAGAATATAGTGATGCTACTAACATGGTACTATTTTTAATTACTTTGTGGGTAAGTTAATTAAATTTAAAATTCTTTTAACACCTTTACTGAGAGTAAGAGACAACTACAAAAGTAAATATAGTTAGTTTTTGTTTTTTAACTATTAAATATACTTACCGAGAGAGAATTTAAGATTAAAAAAAAAAAACTTACACACTGCTATTCCAGTAGTAACACCACTTAATGCCACTCCAGTTCCACGGTGAGTAATAGATAATATGGTTGTTAATTGAGGCTTGTAAATAGACAAGTGAGGAGACATAGGTCTATTAAGGCGGTAATTTTTATTATCGTGAGTCTCTTCTAATTTCGCCTCAACTTCTTGAACAGTTTTCACTTGCATGGTAATCATACGGTGTCTAGAAAATAAATAACACACATATATTTATATCATACAAATTAAACTTTTCTAATTTTAGTCGCAGCACAGCATAAGGACTTTTAAAAAAACTCCCTTGTATAGATGTTTAAGCAAATATGACAGCAATCACAGAACAACATAATACTCAATGAGATGTCATATAAATGCACATTGTAATTCTAAAATGTAGTGAGAAGGTGATGTAGGTGTGTGGTAATAACGACACGACCCTGTTAAATTATTACGAGTGTATAATTTAATGGTGAAAAATATATATTTTAAAAATATAACATAGCCATTAGGTATTGAAAACCAATTATTTTTCAAAATATAAATATTAGTGTTTTTATACTAATAATTATTTTTACTTTATAACATTCCCTCTTGGAAATTCCTAGCTATATGCTTGGAAATAAAAATAACTCTAAAACAGCCTAAACCCATAAGTTATATTCAATGTGTTAAAATAGTTTTAATAAATAATAAGTTGTGCATATTATATTTAAAAACATTATTAAATTCATAATTTATTTTTTACTTACATTGTTGGAGGTTGGAAAGACATTGTTTGTCTAGCTGTGCATAGTCTGTGTATACTGAAATATTTCATAATATTTTAAAATAATTAATAAATACAAATTTTAAACAATTTTTTTTTTTTTATTAAACATTTTATTCACAATTTATACAATACAATTAGTATAATGGGTAAACACTCAACCAGGTACTTTTTTGGCATTACCTAAACTAAATTTTTTAATTGTATTTCCTTTAAATAATATATCATATAATATTTACTTATTTATTTGAATTTAACCGGTTTAAGAACTCAATTACGTGTATAATTAGTTTACATTGTTTAAATTGGTATTTAAAAAAAAATTATACTATAATATTTGTAAAGAAAAAAAATATATTTTAGTTTCAATACTCATATACAATAATATGATGTATAAATAATGAACAATTATTATTTTATTATTATGTTTAACATTTATTTAAGAATAATTATGATCTGAAATGGATAGTCTTGGTCTTTTATCGACTGTCTAAATATTTGAGAGTGTTGCCAGGCTAAGTCTCCAGATCCTCCAGATAAACTTGCGTTTAATGTTACAAAATCAGCGCCGTTCATTTGATCCACAATGACTTCTTTAATATTTTCAATAGTAGGTAGATTCACTGTGAGATTATTTCCAATCAACTTCCAATCAACTTGACCTGTGTTAAATAATGCTGTAGTATAAATTAGTTTAATGTCTTGTATAACCAGACCACTTGAAGAAAAGTCAAATCGCCACTCTATTGTTGATTTCTCACAGTATTCTTCTCTACATAAATAAACATTTTTCCAGTCTAATTCTTCTTTGCGAAATAATGAACTATAACTATATACACCACTTTTCCATCCTTCATGAATGCTAGTGCCATGGATATATTTATCAATAGCCGTAGAATATTTGAGTTCGAATCTTTTATTGGCTATTTCAGCCTCAGACGGAGTCCAAACAAATTTCTCAATTTGCGTTTCCCCTCGAGCTAATCTCCATGCGAGAGACCCGGACGTTCTTCCACCATAATTTTCAATATCAGTAGACTCTTCAGAATGTCCAGCCTGAAATAACGTCTGTTTGGATATTCTACTGTACAACATAAAATACAATTCAAAACACTCCTTCAAACGTCTTTCTGCAATATATTTACGTCTTGAAAATGATAAATTATTTTGCCTATGATGCGACAAACTTAAAATCGTAGTCAACAACTCGTTTTCGGAACAGAGTTTTCTTCTTTTTAAAACGGTGTTATTATTTTCTACATACCGCCAAGTAACATCTTGAACTTCTTCATTAGAATAGGCGATAACATATGACAATTTTTTCCCCCAACCTTTTTCATATAGTAACGGTTTGTCTAAAGCAGTTTCACACGGATCACAATGAATCCATCTTTTTTGATTAACTGACCAGACTTCAGTCCATACGTGATCAGTTTTATCAACTATCAATCTTGCTTCCCAACCAAGCGCTCTACAGAACAAAGTAAAACAATTGGCCCATTCACCGCATCTACCCTGACGAGTAGTTAAGAGTTGTTCACAAATACCATATCTTTTAAAATCTGTGACCGAACAACAGTTTTCGCATTCATACATTTCGGAATATCTAACATTTTCATCTATTTTAATGTGATTTAATCCTTTAAATTTTGTAGCACTAGAGCAGAACTGGCAGATTGGCGTATCAAACCATTTAAAAAATGACTCTTTAAACCATTTCATAAGTTTTAACATCATTTTCTCGTGGTATAATGCATCATTTTTATCGACATTTGAAAATAACTCAATATCTTCTAGCGATAAGTTTTCTAATGCTTTGCTCTGCAATATTTTATCTTCAAACTTAAGTACATCCAATGATGTTGAACTAATTTCTTTTAAGAAATTATTTTCATTTAAATTTAACTTTTGATGTTCAGAAATTATGTTTATAAGTTGTTGTTTGTAGTTCTTTAATGCACTTAGGCTTATACATTCTGGCAACACTAAAGAAATTCCATCATCTATAAACCCAATTTCAAAAAGGAATTCCATAGCACCGGCAAAAGGCAAAAGCTTATTTTGAATTACATCACTTTCCAAATAGAGTCTTCTGAATTTTGGTTGATTTGGATGATATATTATGTCATTGAGGAGTTGCAATAAAACATTAACAACTTGAAAACAGACGTCGATACTATTGCTTTTTAAATCGTTTAAACTATAGAGCATTTTGAAATATTAATAGTTACAAAAAATTTAACTACATTTACGATATTACACAATATAATAAACTAATAATAATATTATATTACCTTCTTAAATATAGAGCCATTATGTGAGCAAAAATGTACAATATATCTAGGGAATTAAACACTTGAATAAATAATTTGTACTTGGAAAAGTGGATAAGTGAAAAACTGATTTATCTAGTGATACCTACGAAGGTGAACAGTTAATACTGAAATCAATAATCGTATTGCAACATTTAGCCTAGAACAAAAATTGAAAAATCAGCAGTTCAGATTGTGGGCATGTTTCAGTGATGGTGAACTGGATATCAGCTGATTATAATTTATTATCATTAAATATCAGGATGTTACTCTACATTTCTACAATAATTATACTTTGAACAACAACTACTAACTCACAACTGTTCACGGCCGTCAGCCAATTTATATTTTATAAGCAAAAGAG